TCATTTACTTCGTAAAGATGATTCAAAGCGTGTATTCAACTCTTAATGAGCTTTAGAATGTAATCGCATTGCCATCTCATTGAAACAGTAAAGAGCAGCGAAACAACTTTCCCCACGGTTGACTTGGGTGTAGTCAAACAGGAGCGTGCGGTGGCCACGAATCTCGACCCGACTTCCTCAATGCCACCTTCCCAAACAAAATCTCAACTTTCTCAATAGCGGTGCTGGTTACCAAACCTGGAAAGCAGACGTCGCTCAACACTTTCTCAGTGCTAACGTGCCTGCTTTCACTTTTGTGTGCAATGACCCTTTTCATGATTTGAGTTATGTTTTGTTCTTCAATCTCACTCGTTTGAAGATTAATAGCTCCATCATTATATTCACAAAGTAATAATGTGGATATACGCTACTTACGAGAGTCGCTATGCACCCTAAATTTCGTAATTTACAAACTGTTTGATGTAGATTGAATAACGAGAATAATAAAAAAACTACCTATGAAAGAAGCTCACGGAGGTCGGGTGAAAAGCAAGACATGACTTTTATGCTCATAAATTCTCATAAATTTTAAAATTTTAATGGATTCCATGAGTGTACGTATGAATCTTTCGAGGAATGTAGTGAGTTGTCTCAATATCGCCAAAAAGCTAAACACATGTTGAGACGTGTTGGACTCATAAATGAGTTTACAAAGAAAACAGCTTTCCAAAAATTAGTGCTAAAGTTATTCTACAAAAGTAGATTCTCAAAACATGAAATCACTTATGAAATTAATCACTTGCATAATTGTAAGTTCGAGATCAAGTAAGCTGTCCAGAAATTATAACGTTGTACAATTTTTTTTACTTTAGTTACTTAAGTTTTATCAGTCACTTTTAGTTATTTTGAGAAAACGCTTCAAAACGTTAATTATAATGAGGGTATTCACGCACCCTTGGTAACTACGTAAACAGCGTAAAATCCGTAAACTTACAAACGTTTACAAACAGCTTCCCGTGAATTCACTTTCGCAATTATTTTCGTAAAAATTTATCTGATAATTGAAACAAAATGCCGATCATTTTCAGAAAACGGAAATTAATGGAAGAAATTTGTGGAGCTGCATTTATTGATATAATAAATACCACGAACAGTGAAGGCTGTTCCTATAAAAATTTCGAAATTCAACCCTCCTAAATTCTAATCCTAAATCACACTAAATCTTAGCTGAATATATAACTTCTTAGAAATCGGTATCGGTGCCCCTCCCTTATTGCCCATCTGGTTATTTTTTGTTCATCTTTGACTTCATATTCGTTCATGAGAAGCTATCACCGTTCCGAATTTCAGCTTTTTGAGACAAGTTATGAAAATCGGTATGGGTCACCCCAACGGGTCCCGGATGTGATTTTTTACCAATTCCACTTCATATTCTTCCATTAGGAGCCTTTAGCAGCCTCTATACCAAATTTCAGCTCGATTGGATGATTTTGAAAAATCGGTATGGGTCACCCCTTCGGGTACCTCCAGATGAAAAATTTTCCAATTTCACTTCATATTCTTTCATTAGGAGCCATTCCCGATAAAGAATTTATTTGTGGGCCGTGTCTGGGGCACAGTAGCCCGCAAGTATGGCCTATGTACGGGTTTGACATCAGGGAAACATAGTGCACCGGAGATTATTGCCTTATTTGACCCATAGTTGGGGAAAAGCTGGGCCATACTTTTCCCCGAGATCATATGAATCAGGCACAGAACTGGCCCAAGTCTGGGACGCATAGTCATTTTCGTGGTTGCCCCTAATTGGCCCTAATATGGGCCACTTGTATCTACTATTAAGGTGCCATACTTTGGACATAACTTTGCCATATGTTTGCCGAATACCTGTTTACATACATATTTTTATTGCACCTCGTTAATTTCAAATATACATAATTAGTATTATTTCTAGCTACATACTAAATTAAAGCTAAGTCATACATATATACGCATTAACAGATATGGTTGGAATTAAATAACTTTTGTAAAATATCTTCAATTTTAAAAGAAATTAATTTCTGAATACCTTTACATAGAATAACCTGGATATTTTTGCTAGGACACGGATAATTATAAAAATCACATTGACTGTCAAATATTTTTCCATGCCGGTTATTTCTAAAAGTAGTGATTAAAACTTGTAAATGAACTAAAAATTACTAATGTGCATTACTGTTATCAAACTCCGATGGAACTGTATATAACAAATAGAGTAACTTCTGAGATATTTAAATCGGAGCCAGGGGCAGAGGGATCCTCTTCTGTTGTCGAATTTGTAATAGGAGTAAAATCCAGCTGAACTCGATGACGAGGAAGGAGTCGCTTGGCCTGATAATAAATTGAATGCTTAGAAAATAAACTTAATTATTAAAAACAATAACATACTAAAAAAATACCATTTGAGTTCTTACCCGGTGCTTTGAAGGGTAAATTGTTTGTTTCAACTGGATTCTTCGAATGAATTTTATTTCTCCTCGAATTCAAATTTTCCGAGTCACTGGAGCTTGATTGTGTTTCGCCAGAACTCAAAAATCTTGCTTCGTCCACATTCGAATTAGCTCTCTTGTAGTCATCTATAAATATGGTTAAATATAATAATGTTTTCTCATATTACAATGTACATAATTACTGCTAAATATGATTTACTTACCACTTCCAAAGGATCGAAAAATCTTCACCTCCAAGTTTTTCCAAGTTGACTTGGGCTTACTTTCTGAGTAATGGATCAATTCCAAAAGCTTTACACCTTAGGCCAATAGCACATTTGCTTATCGTCCTCTTCAGACAAGCAAGTTGAGGGGACAGCGGCAAAAGACTTTTCCTCTAAAAACTCTACGACTGAAAACTTCGACGAAAAGTGCGGAGAAGACATCTTGCTTCCCGACGACAACGTGAAAAAACTAAACCTAATTTGTTAATCACGAGCGCACCAAAATGATAGGGCCAGCAGCTAGCCAAAGGAACGTGGGCCAACGATGGGATTGGATCATCGGGGCCAAAGCACGATATCCCGGACTGTGCCAGACTTGGGGCAAATCTACTATGTCCCATTTCTGGGCCACATTTGCAATTTCATTTTCGGGAAACTTGGTAAATATTTTGTATGGCCCGTCGGTGTGGACACATAATAAAACCAAACTTGGGGTTTCAACTACGGGCCAATCGTGGTCCACAGTTGACATTCGGCATACCACCTTTGTGCCAAGGGTGGGCCGAAGTATACTTCCCACATCAAATTTTTTCCAAGTTTTCCCAGAGTTCCCAGACACAAGCCATACATGGCCCAAATATCATTCTTTATCGGGTTAGCAACCTCTATGCCAAATTTCTGTATCGAACAAATTTTTTTCTTCCGCAAATTGAGTTTACAAAATACTTTACAAAATTAAAAGACGCCTGTGAGCTGCGTAAGTTTACAAAAGTTTGTAAACTGATTTTTCTTGACAATTTTTGTAAAAGTTTGTAAACGTTTGTAAGTTTACGGATTTTACGCTGTTTACGTAGTTACGAAGGAGGGCGTGAATTGCCTCATTAAATTTAAACGTATGATAAGCTTGTTAAGAGCTAAATACTTATGCAACGCATGTTATAAAATATAGAGGCTGCATTCATGACTATGGGTTTTTGTGGGTTTTTGTGGGTTTTTCCGGGGTTTTTGTAGGATTTTGAGGTAGATTGAAACAAAATCCCTTAAACTACAACTTAAATCAATGCTAATTAAATTGACGGATTCATCATGAAATTTTGAGAATTTTCATGTGCGACTTGAATTTCCAAGTTTTATTGCATATTTCCAAGTTTGCATGCGAAATATGAATTTTCGATGTAACAGTCCAAATCAATGATAACGGTTAAAATTGCATGTTAAAATTGTATATAAAATTAGTTTATCTCTAATATATAATTTTAGGAATTCTGGTTCAACCTGCCCCAAAATCTACAAAAACCCACAAAAACCCACAAAAACCCAAAAACCCACAAAAACCCCAAAAACCCCGGAAAACCCCCAGGGGTTGGGTTTTTCTACAAAAACCCCGGGGTTTTCCAAACCCTGACTACAGCGCGTTGCTAGTTGGCCCATATTTCTTACAGTTTCTGGCACCGTTTCTTACGTCTTGCTTTACAGGACAAAAAGAAATCAGTAAACCCGCAAGAAACTGAACATTAAACATAGGCTGTGATTATCAATTCCACAAATATACACTTACAACATACATAAAAATATTTCCCAGTTTTCAGGACATACTTTTGGATTGTAAATAATTAAAGCGCTAATTCTATCTCAGAAGGTTTGCGGTACTTTGTATTCATAGTAACAATTATATCGCATTAATGAGATAATTATCCAATATTTAACCCTAGATAATAATGCAGCCAAAAAGAGGCTGCATGTCTCATTCTACTACTTAATTATATATCTATAAGCTGCGTCGTCTCAAGACCAGACGAAGCACGAAAACCACATGTTGAGTCCACGTTTCAACCAGTTTCATGTCCACTCCATTAAATATGCACTTTTCACCAAACTTTTATCCCTTTTTGTATTGACATGACATGGAAGGGACAAAATCACGAGGATTTGATCGCAAACCCAAGGCATTCATACACGCTCTTAAACACAACGTCAAGATGACTCCTTCCGGTTTTTTCCATCATCATCTAACCGCAGCATTACAAACTCATCGGACATGGGAGCCCATACAAGGCACACTCCACCCGTGTGGCAGAGGCAATATGAGCGAGGAGAAAGTGAGCTCACGCAACACACGAAGAAGGAATAACACAAAGTTTGCTGGTGGATGAATAGGTTTGCCTTTTCCTTTTACCCTGCTGCTCTGCTTCTGCTGCTGCGAGGAGAGGTAGCCAACCAGCTGCCTTATGTTTCCCCGAAGGGTGAATGGGAATCTGGTTTGGTGGAGGAAAGTTGAGTAAAAGCGGAGCTCGGAGCGGACTCCTGGTCTCAGTCGTTTAGACTCCGTCGGCAATATTACACTTCTTGCTTGATGTGAAAGTAGACAGTTGTTCACTTGTTAACGCAACACTTGTCCCAACATTCCCAGCCTGTAAATTTACATATACAACTTGTATTTCCTATAAATAAAGCATTCCCGCATTTAAATACATTTCGACACAATTGAAATTGTACAATTTTTTAATTTCCCCAGAAAGCAAGTTGCTATTGATATTGTATATTTTAGCAAAATAAATTGATACACGTTAGGAAATTGTGAACCTTTATGGTGAAGGGACGAATCATTTAGGTGAAATCCCATCGTAGTGCTTGAGTTGAGAGAGACTGCTGCTTCATGAGCTGGACAAGTGAAAAGTGAGACCGGTGAACTCAAGTTTGGAAAAGTGTTTCTGGTAACGTGTTCGAGACGGGGAACGACATTACATTTTTCGTAGTTTGGAACTGACCCGAGCCTAGCAAAGCTAAAGTAAAAGTCATCTAAGGAAATTTATTGAGTGTTGAAAAGGCAAAGTCAATGAAGCGTGACTTTATTACATACGGTTTTGGACACGTGTAACACTGTTGTTCCCATTCATCTTTTCTTTCTTTTGAGCGTGGTGGTAGCTGCTGCTGAAACTGGGATAAATAGCCAACAGTGAGATATTAAGCTTTCTCCTCTAGCTTTCTCTTTGACTTGAACTCTGTCCAAGTGAAGTAAAAAAGCAGAACAATATTGCTTTACGACGAAAAGATTGACTCGCTCGATCCGGATTCAAAGGTGGAAAGACGGCATATGTGCCAGTTTGCATTTGGCCCCACTACTCAAAATCAACATTGACACGTTGCTTCCCCACTTCCTTATACGCACGCACACAGCATTGAACTTCCAGCGTGGACAGAAGAGAAAGCTGACAAAAGTGAAGACTGTGTGTCCAGTTGGTTGGGAGCTATTAATGGAAGCTGTCATTATTTCTGGACGAACATTTATACCGGTCGCTGCCTATGTGCATTCCGAATGACACTTATTATTACGACAAACTACTGCTAGATTGAGAGCTGCCGGTCAAGAACAGCGGCTATATGTCAACTGCTTCAAGTAATAGTTTAGGTACTCAATATTCGATACTGATACGTTTTCGGTGAAAGTTGCCAACTGCGAGAAGCATCAAAATCAACAAAAAGTAGGTGATGAGTAGGGTTCACTATTCAGAAAGACTGTCCTTCTTGACCATGTCGTCTGAATAATGATATGAAATCCTGAAGTGTTTCCGACTGACACATCTCATTTTTGAAGTGTACTCAATCAACAAGGAATAATTTTTTTTAATCGAGACTTGACTAATTAGGAACTTGAACGGCAGGATGTCATTATCAACTATGTTTGTGGATTCAGTTTTTCTTCAGAAAAAGTTTATTGTCACCATTCTCCTAGTCTGCGTTTCAAGCTCCATTGCATCTAAGAAGGCATACTATGCTGAAAATGATTCTGGGAAAGGTAAGTCTTACTTATTTTATGTATGTGTGAGTATAAAATTCAACATATGCATTCAACTCTCAATTATGATATAAATTATAGAATAGTTAGAATTAGTTTAGAATTGGTTAACCAAGATCACAAATAAACTAATGAGACCATAAAAATGCAGCACAGCACTCACCTCAGGAAAGTAATCATGAATTTAAGATTTACACAAAGCAAATTTTATCTTGCATTTTACAAGCTCACAAATGTCCTAACGATGTTTCAATTCAAATGAAAATGAAATTACAAGTTCATTAGTGAATCAGCAAGTTGCAAACTAGACTGAAATCAGTAGTCGGGGAAAATATACACGATATTTTCAGTTGGCCGATGATGCAACATTTTGTGCGAGGGTTGGTGGATTAGTGGTTAAGTTATCAAGTGAGACAGGCTGGAGCAAGTGGAGGTTTTTCCCAATGTCAAAGGCACTACAGAGTAGTGGGCAGGAATTACTTGGGATTAAAGTTTTCCTCCATCCTGCCCCATCAAATATACATGAGAAATAATTGATATTTTCACTTGAATTGATGAAACATTAATTTAACTGTTGTACATCGTGCAGTATGCACACACAAAACTGCTACCTCACTTGTGAGACAATTACGACTGCTCATTTGCGGATTTCACGATGAACCCCCCATGTTTCTGCCCCTCTTATAACGAACGACGAAGCGTAACGACAACAACCCACTCAATTCAAGAAATGTTCAAAATCATCATCTTACTTTCTAACCAATTTCAAGTTTTGTGTTCCATGCGACTCCACCAATCTCAACTTTGGGCCTATTCCAGTCTTCAAATTATTGAAAGAGACAGAGGAACAAATGAACTTCACTCCATTCTCGTGTTGAGAGAATGGAGTGCACTGTGTATAATATTGCGCACTTGATTCCGGTTTTCCAAGAGCATATCCAATGAGCAAAGTTTGTTTCGCTTTTCCCCCTTCTTCTTCTCACGTACTTTTGTTATTGTCAAAGTTTTGGTGAGTGGTGGGTGGGTGGGTGTGAGGTGCTGGATGGATTTCAAACCACAACATCCAAAGCATTGGACATGGTTTAAATTGGTGCTAAATTTGTCCTGACATTTGTATCGATTTTGTTGAAATTGAGACGCAAACAGCCACAGAAGTTCATAAAACACGCACTGCAACATTTATCCAAATTGAAGGGAAGGCAATTCTGCAAATTTGTTTTATTAATCAATTAGTAAACATGGATTGGTTCACTGATACATTAAACAAGTCTACGTTCGAGTAAAGAACGGAGGAGCGAAAAGGAGAAAATTTTGAACCATGAAACTTTTCACATGCAGTCGTTGTAGTTGTGCAGTCTACCATTACTTAAATTAATGCTTACGGGCAATTCCACTCACTACACTTGCTTCTTCCCCCTGTCCAATTGTTCAGTCATCAAAAGTATTATTACATTCGTAGGCTGTTATATGCAAAAATCGTTGTTCTTAACTGCCCTTCGTCTGAATGCCAGGTTCAAATGCGAGAACCAGATAATTTTCCACATTTTTGGTGGGTTGGATTTACCAACAATTAGAATTTTCTAAAAGTGGAAATATCGACTACCTAAATGAAAGTTTTTAGTTTAGTTTTTATTTTGTGCATGAATATCTTTCATAGTTTAGTTAGGTAGCAAACTTTTATTTTATTCTACCTCCTGACATAACCATTGCATGTAAAACTGTGTAAAAGCAGATTAAAAATGCAGACATAACTGAATCATTCTAGAAAAAGTTTATTCTTTTGAGTGTTTAATGAAATTTTTCTGCATCCAGGATTGCAGTCACAATGCAGTTGAAGCATTAACAGCTCTTTTTTTCATCACTTTTATAAATCAAAGAAATGATCCACATTTTTCCTCGCTTCATTACACCGCAGAAATTAATATGGCTTATGAGTAATTTCTCAGAACGCCACCGTGATCCAGCCAGAGTGAGTGAAAGCGCTGGTGTTTATCATTTTGCGAGAGATCATAATGCAGAAAACATAAAAGGGAGATTTGAGGAGCACAAGTCATCCGGAGAAAGTCGTGAGCAGAGTTGAAAGGGGACGGAAACAAAGGAGTGAAGAAAAAGGAATCAAAGACAGTGCGAACGACGCGGGCATCTGGGCCTGCGGAGGTTGGACCTTTTTGAGAGAAAGCGAGATGATAAAGAAAGTGGCGGCGTTGGGCTCTCGGAGACAGATGAGAATGAGCAACAGAGAGACATCAGGATTAATTAAATTAAATTCCTGATGAGGAGGCGACTTCCAACGCTGACTGACTGGAAGCTATGACATTTCCGTTCTCTAAAAACTTAATACTGACTGATTGACGGCCAACTTTACAGTTGAAGAAATAATCATTTGCTCTGATGACTTTGAAATGAAGCTTGGCTGGTTTTCTGCAAAAACCGGCCTACCCACCCCCCAAAAAATTGTACATTCAACATGCATTTCGTTACGAATTTTTTATCGACTATACAAGGAATTTGGGAAAAGGGGTATCAATTTAACTAGACAAACCAAGGGTGTATAATGTACTTTAAACGCTGGGTAAACCGTTAGATTGCAATTTGCAAAAAATACCCTAATACAACTAATAATCCTGTGTATCCTAATATATGTGTCAAATATTCATCAGTGCCGTGATACAAGTAAAATTAGCCAACAAAACCGAAAAATAGATATATCGCTAATAATGAAAAGTTGCAGTGCCTATGATCGCTACTTTGCTGTACATGCTGAGCATCTGTGTGTATGTTCACTGATGGGAACTGCATCGGAGCGCAATAAAAGTGTGACATGCTTATCTTAACACATTATTGTGCCATCGGGCCTTTGGCGTCGTAACATTACATCCGCGCCCCTGGCAGGAGCACTATTATGAGGGAAAAGCATTTTTACGACTAAATCCTACTACAAATAAATTATCTTGGGTTTGCACGCGAAGGGCATGGGAATCGAGTTTTATTAACCGTGCCACACAATGAATGAATATTTCCACTTCTTCTCTGCTGGGGGAGGTAACTGCTTCTCCACTACAAATAGAAGTTGAATCGTGTTGCTCCTGCTCTTTTCTGGCGGATAAAGTTTCAGTAAAAAAATATAGAGAAATCTGTACTTCCAATGCAACAATATAGGCCTCTGGTCATTGTGATACGTTATCATAGCATTTGCGGTAGCATAGTTATCCACATATTGTAAATATAGTTAACACAGTGAAAAAATCTGCCCCATTCGTTTTTGCAAAGTTTATACAACGAACCCAATAACCTTCGACCCGCTTTTCTGACTGTTGGAAATGTGCTCCAAATAAAAATCCCAACCAAATGCCATCATCAACAAAGTGAATCATGATGATGCAAAAGAAATATGTTGCCGAATTAAAATACTTTCCAACTCGAACCAACTTGGTGAGCAGATTGAGGGTGTTGATCCAACTTTAGCGAAATCAGCATATATACTAGTTTATTCCCCGACTTGATTGAGGTGGAGACGTCTCCAAACTTTTTTATGATAGCGTATGGAATAGGCGTGGTGCCGGGGAGCTCAAAAATCAATCTCTCTACAAAAGTTGCATTATTTCATTGTCTATCAAATCTGAATTCACCTCATACATACAAACATGGAGGCGTAGCATTCATACAATTTTAAATACGTGAGGAAAGTCGGTCTTGAACTTGCAACACGTTTAAAAAGAGTGATAAATCACCCCAGAGTTTGGCTAAGGGATAAAGCGGGTCTGTGTATTTCGAGGATTTTATGGCTTTTTTTGACACCGAGTCAGAGAAAGAAGTGAAGGGTTTGGGAGGAAAGGGAGAAGGTGAACCGTCCCAAATGGGGCCTCGTTCACTACTGTGCCCTATAGCCTTCCTAATGTAATAGTAGCACTTTAACTTGAAATTTAAGACGGGGAATATTTCAATAGGGAGCAGATATAGATATACAGACACACATTTGTGTGAGTGGCATCTTTGCTGGCACTGCAATAACTATTACTCCATTGCCAAAAGGTCAAGTCAAGTGAGAGGCAGAGTACGGAGAAAGCATCGAATATTGAGGTATTGAGTAGACAGAGAATGTCTTATGAATACAGATACACAACCAAGAGGCAACAACCCTCATCCACTTGTACCCTCCTAATGTACAAATGGCACTCACTATAAGACACTCAGGATGTATAAAAAAGATGTATGAGAGGGGATGAGATGTGTGCTCAAGAGGAGAACCATAAGGTTACAAAATATCTCTGTGGGCTAAACCACCTACATTGAATGAAGAGCAAAACGTCCGTTTCACCATCTCCATCCTGCTCCATCTCCGAGGAGGAGGGCTCTCGAGGAGCCAAGGAGAAAGTACAAACTGCACTTTTCCTCCCTTAGAAATTGTCATTTGCTTTCCTAGCTACCTATCCGTCCTTTAAGTACTTTTAAGAATGTGGCTCTGCTGGATCTCCCCGTTATTTGGTTGCAACGTAAATGGTCGGAATGTATGTTTGTCATGGGACAGTCAACGCGAGTCACTGGACTACAGATGCAATAAGTGGTGGAAGGGAATGAATAAAGAGACGACAAAATGATTTTTTTTATTTCCCTCAGGTTTTCGAAAGAAGGGAAAATACAGCCAAGCTTGCCGACTGCCTGTCTGGCTGTGTAGTTCACTATTTCAGAGAACGTTCTCCACACGAGAACGCCTTCTCAATCCACAAATATGTATGAGAAACCTTGAATCCGAATGATCATGACGTGTGGCTAAAAGGCTGTGCACGAGTTTAACGATTTTTGTGATATATGCAACGACGAATGCCAAGAGGTTGAATGTCGTGATATGATGATGATGATATTCCGTTTTCTTTACTGTTTTGTCATCTCACTTACACTTATTTGTACATCTGTCCTTGGAGTTGAAAAGAAAGATGGAGGAGAGAAAGAGATTGAATATAAGTGACACATGTCAAACTGCTGCTGCTTTCATCCACATG